GTAATTATATTTTAATTCAAAAAAACTTTAATTTTTTTTATGTTAGAAGGAAAAGAGCTTACCCAGTAGTAATTGAACCAGAATTGGGGAAGAATGATGAAAAGAGCAGGGTCTGGGAGCAGAACTCAGTTGGCAGGCTACTTGTCTAGTATGTTTAAGACCCTAGGTGTGATCCCCTGCACCTCAAAAATAAGTAACAAAGCAGAGGACAACCAAAACTTTCTGTCATGGGACAAGCAATCATTGTTTCCAGTCTTCAGGCCCGGCCCATACGGTCACTACTACAACAGCCGTCCCACCACAGAGAAGCCAGCATGGACTATATACAGATGAATAGATAGTATTTTTTTTTTTCTTCCAAGACAGGGTTTTTCTCTGTAACAGTCCTGGCTGTTGCTAGAACTCACTTTGTAGACCAGCCTGGCCTAGAACTCACAGAGCTCCACCTGCTTCTGCTTCCCAAGTGCTGGGATTAAAGGTGCATGCTACCACTGTCTTTTTTTTAAACGACACTTTTACTTATTTAGTGTGCACGTGTCCATGTGTCACATCTGCATGTATCAGAAGACAACTTAGGGGGAGTCAGTTCTCGCCTTCTATCAATGTGGTCCCAGGGATTAAATTTAGGTTATCAGTGCTTTTATTGGCTGAGACACCTCACTGGCCCATGATTTTTAAATAAAATTTGTTCAAATTGTAAACATGTGACTTGCTACTTAATGTTACTTAATGTCTCTACACCTTAGTTTGAGTAGAATAATGACTGTTCATGTTTCCTGGGATTCTAATGAGGATTATGACTATTTCTAAATATTAACTTTTGTCATGAGGACATTGTTGCCTGAGTTATCAAATTACAATAGAGGTCAACAAACCTGTCTGGAAAGCAAGCAGATCTATACATCTTATTCCTCGTTGTACTTATTCTCTATAAATAACTTTATGCAGGAAATGATAACTACGACTTCTCTCTTTTTAATTTAACATTTAGATGTTACGGAAAGGGAAAACTAAGAAAATACAGTTCTCTGAACATTCTGAATATATAAATTATCCTTTTTTTGTGAGAGTTTTACCTTGGCCTCCGACTTTTGGATACTACTGAAAAGTAAGCATGCACTACTCACAAATGTAGAACCTTTGAAGATTTTACTTTCAACAGAGCCACCTTTACCAACACAAATACATTTTTCCATGCAAAGAAAATAATGAGATCAGGGTTGTCCCATGAAATAACATCCTTAATATATAAAGTTCTGAGAATTATTCAACCCACCTTCTCATTTCAAAGATGAAATATAAACGTGTATTAAAGACCAAGTGCAGTGATGCATGATTGGCCAAGCTAGCCTGTGTGGCAAGACAATGTGGAATTAGAATCCCAGTTACTAGCCTCTTAATCCAGCAATCTGTAGATTAGAGCTTTTGCACTCCTGTCTCTCCCTCTCCCCACCCCCTCTCTCTGAGACAATCTTGAACTCTCAATCTTCCTGCTTTAAACTCACATGGGCGGGAATTACAGGTGTGTGATACCACACATACTTGATGGATTTCAAGGCCCTACATCTGGTAATTTAGACATTAGTTCACTTAACTTTCAACAGCATTAGCTCACAATAAAATGATGTTAGGTAAAGAAGAAAGAAGTTTCATTTATATGTCCCTTACAATGGTCTATGAGAAGCAAATCATATGGAGAGGGTTGCTGGGGAATCCAGGAAAGAGACTTCAAGCTATGGGGATTCTGTAACACTCTAAGCCATTTACTTACACCTTGTATAGTAATTTGAATAAGAATGGCAGTATGGGCTCATATACTTGCTCAGTCACCAAAAAGTAGAACTTTGATAGGATTAGAAGGAGAAGGAAGTGTGACCTTGTTAGAGGAAGTGTGTCACTGGGGGTGGGATTTGAGGTTTCAAAGCCCATGCTAGGCCCCAGCTCTTTCTCTGTCTGCAGATCAAGATGTTAACTCTCAGCTATTTCTCCAGTACCAAACCTGCCTGCTGCTATGCTCCTGCCATGATGATAATGGGCTAAACCTCTTAAACCGTAAGTATCCCCCAATTAAATGCTTTCTTTTGTACGTGTTTGCCTTGGGTCATGGTGTGTCCCAATAGAACAGTGACTAAGGCACCTTGCTTCCACTGTACCTGAAAAAAGTAGGACTTCCCTACTTAAAGATGCATAATGCTAACTGTTAAAGACACATAACAGATCACAAGTACCACACTGAATATACGGAATGGCATTATCCTGAAAACCAGCAAAGCTTTACATTTTTGAGCCTACAGAGAAAGCCCTAATTTCCCTGGGAACAGGATGTTAGTATGTGTCAGGCCTGGTGAAAGCACTGCAGTGGCTCTGACATCTGCACTGCTGCAGACTGAGACTTCCCTCCACTCTGAGTGCAGTTTTCTCAGTCACTCTCTGTTGACCTTTCCCAAGTTACATTTCCTACTGACTTTGATACTCGACTTTCTTTCCTGGGGAGGTAAATCAAATTAGAGTCACCTGATTTCAATAGCAGCAGTTTCTACTTCACACCTGCAATTCACATAGCAACCGTAGTTATATACGCCTTGTGACCGCTTAGAGAAAGGCTAGCTAGGGATAACAGTTTAATTAGATTTCCTGTTATTGAAGTCATGATAGAAACCCCAGATGAGTAATTTGCAAGGTGTGAGACATGAAGTATAGAAGGCTGAAAGGATGGAAAACATTAATAGAACTGTTTAATTAAAATACAGAAATGCTATCTTGAATCAAGGCAATAATATGGTTGTGCTGACAACAATTTCACATCTAAAGAAATTTAAAACTTGGCCAAAAAGTGTCCAAGGAGAGCACACTTAAAAAACCTTTCTGAAGAAAAATTTTTGGCCTATTACTAACAACCTAAGATATATTTATACATAATATGTCAGCTCCTAATTAATTGCTATTTATCAACTCATTTAATCCTCACAGCAATTCTCATTATATGTACAGAAACAGAAGTACAAAGTCACAATGACCAGCCATGGACTCAGATACAGTTAGTTTGGTTGTGAACCCAGGGAATGTTCAGTATATGCCCTGCCATTATCCTGTGTACCCCAGATCCTGACTTTAGACTTTTAATTATAGGCTATGTAGTGCTAAATGAGGAAGTAAAACAAATATTCTAGAAAACATTTATAGTGCTTTCAGATTTGTACTTCAAATATATTAGATAACACAAATTTTTCACATATACCTTATACTAATAATGTACTTAAGGTGTATATATTATCTTTTAATTCAAGGGATAACAAATATAGATTGAAATCCAAATGGCACAACTAGAACTTAAATATTTTTCTATATTAAAATTAGGAGATTTCCTAACATGTTGTCTAGCTATTTCCTTTAAATTCAACTGTTTCATTGTGAAGGAGAGAAGCTCAGGAAGTCAAGGAAACAGGAAGCTCAGGAAGTTATAAGACTCATGGGCCTCTCACTGCAGTTACAGAAGCAATAAACAGTTACTGGGGAGAGGAGACTCTTCAGTGGAGCTGCCTACAAACCAGGCAGGAGGCACCCAGGATGGGTGGGCCTTCTGGTCATTCAGCTACCTTGAAGTATCCACCCAATGAACGTACACTAAGGGAGATTCAGGGGGAATAGCTTCTTTGGTCTGTTGATGGTGCCTAATCTGGGGAAATAGTCACTGGCTGACATTTTCCCCAAGAAAAGTCACACAACATATGCACTGTCAAATCCAATACACTCATTCAGTTACAGATATAAGCATTGCATTTAAGTGTAAAAGACAAACTGCAAGGATGCCAGATGCAGGGAGGGAGGTATGGGTCAGAGACAAACATTACCAATTACTTACAACATTTCAGGTGAACACCTGACAGTTCTATTTCATACATACTATTTTTATTTTATATGTATTGCCTGTGTGTGTGTGGGGGGAGGTGCTGGGAATAGAAGCTGGGTTCTCTGGAAGAGCAGTCATTCCTGAGAGACTATTCTAACCACTGAGCCACTTCTCCAGTTCATTACAAGTACTCTTAACTATGAAAACACATTAAGGCCACTATGAAATTTAACACATCATTTCATAAATGGAATAGCAGATAGATTAATATGACCGTAATGCCGCCTTTTCAGTACAGTATATTACAGACTTACTAATAGAAAATTATTTTTGATAATAATTTAAAATTTTTGTTTACAGCAAGATCACCACAAACTAATATGTATTATTGCTTTTCCAAAAGTTTCAATATATTATTATGCTGCATAAATATAATGTTTGGTATTAGACCTGTCATATCTACTAAAGGAGCAAATGTAATCATTTAAGCTTAACGGAAAGTTTAGAATGAATATGAAAGCAGGTAATTCCCTTCAAGTAATTAAAAGGCTATTAGGTAGAATAACAGGCATTAGATTTTAGGTCAAAAGAAGAAAACCTGTTACAGTGAAATGTCACAACTAGAACAGACCACCTCATGAGATATGCAATCAGAGCTTAATTAACTAAATATTAGGGATGTTTTCAGGAAGATTCAAAAACAAGGTAAGTGTTAGCCAATGATCTTATTCTCTGTCTTTATTTCAATGTAAATTGATCTTTCATGTAACACTGGACATTCCATTTTAGATTTACTGATCAACGCAGAGAGAATTTTTGATGTAGAAACAAACCTAAAAACCACTGGGTTAGATATCCAGAAAGATTTTCTTTTAGGTCAAATTTCATTTACTTAAAGAATGTTTTCTTCACATTTATTTGTTGTGTGTGCGCATGTGTGCAAACATACACTGAAGCATGCACATGGATGTCAAAGCACAACTGGGAGAGTTCTCTGTTTCTATCATGTGAGCATCAAGGATCAAAATCTGGCTTGGTGGAGAGTGAATGACCAGCTAAGTATCTGTCCACACTTCAAATTCTTAAATGGTTTCAAGGTTAAAAACACAAAAATATTATCTTGATTTAGAAAGAAAGGAATCTTACTTACCATTTTTTTCTGCAAAGGCAATTGCGGCTTCTTTGGTACTAAAGGTTAAAACCATGTTGGAGAGGGGATCAGCTCTAGAAGAAAAGAATGTCCATGATTTAATAGTAAGCCTTGGCTGCAAGACAATCAAAGTTTTAAATGCAGTGTTTAGAAAATAGACAGTTGGTTTAATATCAAGAAAATTATGACAATATTTTATTTGTAATAATCTCTGAAAAATACCTTATTTCTGTATTAAGTCTGATTTTTCTAGTATGCATTATCTAATAATAAAAACCATAATTTCAAAAACATTTAATTTCTCTTTATTAAGGTCTACTAAACTCTATTAAAAAGGGCAGTGTAAAGTTTTGAATTAAAAAAACCCCAGAAGATTCCCAAATGACCTTAGAAACTTCAATATCAAGAAATTTACTGCCGAGTAGAATTGCCAGTACAGACAGCCTCTAGTTTAAGATAATTTTACCTAAGATTTTCAACTTTATGATGGTGACAGAGCAATATATAACAGAAAATATTTTTCTTTTAAAAGTATTTGAGTTTGTATTCATGTTTGTACATGGTGAATGTACAGTACATGTGGAGGTCACAGGACCACTTATAGGAGTTGATTTTACCCAGTGAGTCAGACCCTTGGGCCCAAGGAACTATTTTTCAAATTTTAAATGTTCACCTGAATGATGAGCAACAGCAATGAAACAATAGCCATGTTGGGCCACAGTGTAAACAACTGCATCACTAAACTACTATGTCCAATAGGTTAGTAGTAGGAAACATTTTCAACTCAAGATGCTTTCTATTTATAATAGGTTTGCTGGGACAGTAACCCCATTGTAGTTAAGAAGCATCCACAGAATACAAATCCTGAAAACTGAACCTTCTCTCAACAAAACTTCATCACTAATAATGTTCTTTTAAGGGAAAGGTCTATAAAATAAGAACAAACATTCTGAGACTTGACATCCCTTATTTTGATGTTTATAAAAGCATAACTATGTTTGCTATAAATGTTTAATGTAAATCTCTCAGATGAATATGACATTCTCTGGAAACTTACTCAAAACTATGGAAGTGGGGGGCTAGGAACATAGCTTAGCTGGTACAGTTCTTGACTAGATGCAAGAAACCCTAGGGTTAATCCCTAGAACTGAATAAAACTAAATATGGGAGGCAGATACCTGTAATTGCAATACTCTGGGATGGAGAATCAAGACTAGCCTGCACTTTATGCCCCCTATCTTGAGAAGAAAAAGGAGAAATACTCTGGGCAACTTGGACATCTGAAAGATATATGACATAAGCAGAGAGCTCAAGTAGCTCTCCCTGATCTGAAGCCCCACAGGCTGCTGATCAAGTTCTGGTCATAAACTGTGGGCTTTTCTGGGAATCCTTATGATCCCTATAAGCCTGGATTCCTATACTAAATTCCCCTTTTAAAGGAAAGAAAACCCTTCTTTTGACTAGTTATATTAGTTCTAAAGTCGAATGATGTTTTTGTAGTGATACTACTTTCCAAGGTATATGTGGTTTCACAGTTGATAGTTAAATAAACTAGTAATCTTCAGAAGTGATAATATAAATATGACCAAGTGATTTGAAGAGTTTCAACATACACACTGGCTTCATTCAGAATAGTGTGTGTGTGTGTGTGTGTGTTTGTGTGTGTGTGCTTGTGAGAGGGAGAGAGAGGTAGACAGAGGGAGAGGGAGACCTCAGAAATCAAGAGAACAGATCCATTTCCTCCAAAGGTGACAGAGCTTTTTAGTTACCTGCTGTATAAAGAACTACACTTAGGTTAAGTGGTAAAACTGTTAACAAGCACTCATTATTCCAGCTAGTTTGTCATTCTCCTCCTTCATGTCTTGTATTTTATAATTCTTTTTAGGTAATATTGCTACCAAGATCTTAATCCTTCTGTCTCCTTTATTTGATTCCACCCCACCATTTAACATGTTACCACATTTATCTTCCTATTATTTATTTCCCAAATCTAGTGCCAAACCAAAACTCCAAACAGTTTCTATCATCCACTGTGGTGGTTTCCACCTCCTTACCATTTAAGCCCCTGTATAGTATGGTCAGAAGGCTTTCCAGACATTTTAAATTATCCCCTCATAAGTAATCAACTGGTCAATTTAGACTTGTTTCTATGAACACACAGCCTGCACCTGCCCAACAGTGCAGTGTTCCTTCCATTGAGAATACTCTCCTAGCATCTCTACATGTGGAAATCCACTGCAATGATCTCATGGCTCAGTTTGAGTACAGATCTTTTCCATGAAATCTCTTATATCCTGTGTCTTTCAATCTTTATATTTCTATTTTTACTTTTATACTCTATTTGCTCAATTCTCAACTACTGAGGTTCCAAGTCAGTAATGATAAAGAAACCTGTATCTTAGTAAGTGTACCTGACTAACAAATAAATACATGCATAGCAATTATAAACTCTCAACAGAAAAAATGGATGACAGATTATAGTGGCATTTCATTTGTATTTTAATAAATAAAGATTGCCTGATGATCAGAGAGTAAAAAAACAGCCCCACTGGTCAGTTTTACATACCAGGCAGTGGTACACACACCTTTTATCCCAGCAGCCATAGTAGTTGCCATAGAAACCGGGTGGTGTATGCTTTTAATCCCAGTGGTACACACCTTTAATCCCAGCCCTGGAGAGGAGTATAAAACAGGAGGAGACAGCTTTCAGACACATCTCATTCTGAGATTCCTGGAGGCAGAATCACTATTTCGGACTGAGGTAGAGGTAAGAGCCAACCACTGGCTGGCTGTTTTGCTTTTTGGATCTTCAGGTTGAACCCTAATTTCTCTCTCTGAGTTTTTATTAGTAGAACTTCAAGAGAGAGACCAGAAGCAGAAATAACTGGAGAGGCCGGGCGGTGGTGGCGCACGCCTTTAATCCCAGCACTTGGGAGGCAGAGGCAGGCGGATCTCTGTGAGTTCGAGACCAGCCTGGTCTACAAGAACTAGTTCCAGGACAGGCTCCAAAACCACAGAGAAACCCTGTCTTGAAAAACCAAAAACCAAAAACCAAAAAAAAAAAAAAACTGGAGAGAATTCTGCCCTCTCTGAAAACAAACTATATAGGAATTCAGTTTCACAGTTGCCCTTAGGAATTCTCTAGTTTAGACAGGAACAAAGAGAAGTCAAGCAAAAAGACATAGCTTGTCAACACAAGAAATCTGAAGATCACGTATAGTCCAACTAGCAGAGCATCTGGACACGTGGGGTGAAGTCTGTGAAGCGGGGAAATCTACAGAGCAGTAAACTTTTGCACTGTGTATGAATGGACAGGTCTGGGAAGACTGAGAAAAGACTGAGCAGCGATTTCAGCAGCTGTCCACTTCAGGCTAAAACAAGTCAGGACTTGTGAGCACCTTGTACTCTCCACTGGAATGTCAGAAAGACTATGTCTTTTAAACCTAAAATAGTGACTTTCAGAACTAAGCCATGCCCCCACAAGGCAAGGCTAACAAAACAAAAAACAAGCAAACAAAAAAAAAAAAAATCAATCCTTCACTGGTTCCAGTGAATATGACTATCAGAACAAAACTCTACAGAGGTGCTGTCATTAATTCAATACAAGTAAGGATCAGGATTAGTGTATTACTAATACTCCACGATATAAACTAATTTGATTATAAATCAATGCCTATTGTTTTAAGGGTTAAGTAAAATATAAGGAAGTCACACATCCATTAAAAGATCCAAATGGGATTCTTCACTTCAGATTACATGTAAAAAGTCCAACCGAAACCAAAGTGTTGCTTTGGTAGTAACATGGATGCATCCTGTAAATACAACGTTGTTCAAAAACACCAGTAACAGAACATTATTGTATAAAATAAATACAAAAATAGGCTAAACACTTCTAGGATATTAGACATGCTGTTTCTCAATGTGGATATATTAATACATTTCCTTGTTCTTTATGGTGTTTTTTAAAAGAGTCATTTTGTAGACATTTAGAATTTTAACATAAATGTATGAAAATTATCATAAATATCTAACAAGTATTGACTTAATGGAGTTATGACTCCATAAGTTAGCTACAAAGCCTTCTTGTACTGAGAGCTTTTCTTCAATGACCTCTGACAAGAAAAGAAGGCTAAATGCAGAGGTCTGGCCGAGAGATGCCCCTCCACAGACTCACATATTTGCATCTCTGGTCACCAGCTGGTGCCATGGGTGGGGAGACTAGGGAGCTCTTAGGAGTAGAAGCCTCTGAAGGAAGCAGGACACTAGGGCAGACTTTGAAGGTTTATGACCTCACTCTACCTTGTGTTAATCTATCAGCTTCTTATGTGTGGGTGAACATGTCATCAACCAGTTTCCCAATCCTGAAACGTGTGCTATCAAATCTGACCAGGAGACCTATAAAGCCACATATATGCCTATAAACACTGAAAAAAATCCACAAGAATACATTCTATATTGACTGAGTTCTCTTCTGTGGAGATAGTAAGTATGTGCACAATAGTGGATGGATAGAAGGCAGGTGAGGACTAGCCAATAATTCTCTGTATCCAGATTACTACCATCTACAACTACAAACACTCATTTACTTGTTCACAAAAGCCAATAAAGAGAAGTAGGCCATACTTAAAGAATTTACAAAACTGAGCCAAATAATTCAAACAAACTTTAAAAGTAATGAAGTCAAACAGTGCTAAAGGAAAAGATGGCACAGACAATACTATTTACTAACTGATAAGCCAAAGGACTGGACAAGCCTACGAATCATGTGCACATTATTGTGTTGTTATGGGTTGAAGGTCAAGCATACTATGTGGATAATGAGGCAACAAAAGAATTAACAACATCAAAATTCATGAATACCTCTGCTTAAATGAGAGGGCCTCCCATGCCCATGTGACATGAAACAAAAAAGTTGTTTCTAGAAACTAAATGACAAGTTGACACTTCTCTAATGAGATGGCTCAGTAGTTGAGGGTGCTTGCTGCCAAACGTGATGACCTGATCTCACATTCATACACATGCACACATTAAATAAGTATCAAAAAAGAAAGAAATTTATGAGCTTAATATCCAACTAGCTGTACTATTAAGTGACAAGGAATGTTTATTTTGGCCCCACTATGCTTCCCTGTTGGTTTAAGGAGATTTATACTGTAAAAACCCTGGGTCAAACTTGTGATGATTTTTGTATCTTATAATACTTTTCAAGTTTACATAAAGATAAATCTTTTACCTTTGAGTTCTAACATTTAAAAGACTCAGGTAATTAAAAGAGCATAAGAAGCTTGCCATTCTGATATAAAATGTCAATACAGTATTTAAAAATGAGAATTTTAAAATCTTAAAAACAAACATCAAGGCACACTTATTGTTAGAAAGTAGCCTTTCAAAAAAAATTTTTTTAAATAAAATAGTACAAATAGGTAACAATGAAAACTACATTTAAAACCAAAACTATGTTCATTAGCTTACTTCCACAGCAACCTCCTTATATGCCTCCACTGGAACAAGCAGATAGAGATAGATAGATAGATAGATAGATAGATAGATAGATAGATAGATAGATAGATGGATGGATGGATGGATGGATGGATGGATGGATGGATGGATGGATGGATGGATGGATGGATGGATGGATGGATGGATGGATGGATGGATGGATGGATGGACGGACGGACGGACGGACGGACGGACGGACGGACGATCTGGGATGAAGCTTCTGTTGTGACACTATCAGAACTGCAGAACTGCCCTTTCTGTTAGCACTGCTCTACTTTAGGAATCAGTGTCTTTTCTGTTTGTGCATTAATTGCAAGTCAGGAAAAGAATCTCCAAACAAACACAAAGCTTCTCTTTCTAGGTACTATGTCAAGTTCCTTGAGCTTTTAAGTGTAAAATTTCTTCCCCATTGGAACTAGGTCCCTGTTAATCCTCCATGTTACGTCATATGGCAGATTCAAACCAAAAGCCAATTTACTAGGTGGGAAATTCGTCAAATCTAGGTCACATACAGGGCAAAATTTTGGGTCTTTAGAAAAAGAAGTCTTTTAGGTATAAGATCTACGGTTGTTTCTCTTTCAACATATTCAAGAATGGCCTATCAGTACTAAAAATTAATTCAATAGATACTTTCTTCTTCCTGTTAAAGTAGTTCTCTCATCAAAATGAAAATTTTAAGCTGAAGACGTGGATTTGATGTAGAATATTTACCCAGCATGCATAAAGTCGTAGAGTTGATCCCGGTACCACTTCTGCACACAACTATAAACCTACAGACATATATAGAACTAGGCTTTAAGTATTTTCCTACACTCGACATGCTAATATTAGATATATAATGATAACATATAGGTAGATTTGAGAACCCAAATTATGGTGAAGCCATTAATTTGAGATACAAAATTTTAGGATTTAGTTTTATTATTATGTGTATGCATGTGTGTCCATATGGAGGTATGTGCACATGAAGGCAGATGTCCATAAAAGTCAGAGGTGCCAGACTACCCTGGAGCTGGAGTTACAAAGTGTGAGTCACACAGTGTGCATGCTGTGAAATCAAACTTGGATCTTCTTGAAGATTTCTTAACCACTGTGCCATCTCTGCAGCCCAAGATGAAAATTTTGTAAATGATAAACTTATAAGTACAAAAAGTTCACCTTCCAATATCAAGAATTTTACAAAAAGGTTTAAAATAGGTCACAAAAGAAGTCAAAACTCACTGTATAACAATAATTTTATGTACTTTTTTTTTGTTATTAAGAAGACAAACATTTGCTGGACAGTGGTGGTATATGCCCTTAATCCCAGCACCTGGGAGTCAGAGGCAGGCGGATCTCTGTGAGTTCGAGGCCAGCATGCTCTACAAAGCAAGTTCAAGGACAGCCAGCATTGACACCCCCTATCCCCCCCCCCAAAAAAAGAGAATCTAAACATTGAAAAACTAATGATTCTGATATCAGCAAATGTGACAGTTCCTGCATTTGTGAAACAAATCAGTCATGGTTCTTCATACTATATTTTTCAAGCTAATTTTGGTTACTTCTTAATATGACAGCAAAGAGAACCAATTTTTAAAAAAATATTTAAGATGCAAAACAACAGTGTAGACAAAACAACTATATAAAAGCTCTCTTATTTGAAAGACACACTTTACTTTGAAGAAACTGTATTCTGAAAAGAACTTTACCTCCTATGCATGGAGAATCTGTAATTTCCAAACCATATATTAATTAAGTAATCAGAATTTCAGAATCAAAGTGTGATATTTCTAAATGGAAAGCTATGATGACGACAACTGGAGGGTATTTGCAGAAGCATAGCAAAGTGAAATGTACTTACTAAACCAAATGATGAGGCTTAAGACACTACACAAAGTGTGATATCTGGCATTTAAGAAAATGTTTTAGCAGCAGTCAGGTCTCTCTGGCCCTTTCTTGCCCTTCTATCCTGAAGCAGGCTATATTTATTAGAAGTTTCTGACCTTCCTCTGACGTCATTATGAAATTTTCTTTCTAGAGGTGACTGTTATACCTAGAGAAAAGGAATGTATCCCTGAAGACACGGGCTACAGATGAAACTTGAAAGCTGAGTTACTACCATTAATTAGATCATAGCTCCTTAGTCTAGGCATACCTTTACACAACTGTCTATACATCATCAAATCTAAGCATAAGAATACACAGGTTCTCTCTCTTTAGGTCTTTATTTGAAGACTGTTTCATATAAAGTGTATATACATTGTATGTTTATTCTATTATTAATCTTGCTATTGATGCCTCAGTAATTCGTGTTGTGATAGTATAAATACATCTGTGTGTGTGAGTGTGTGTCTGTGTGTAAACTTCACAAAATTTAACCTTTTCTTCTCCCTTTCCCTTCCTCACCCAACTCCATTTTTTCCTTTTTCATAGTGTCTCATTGTTTTAACCCAGGCTGGTTTCAAACTCCTTATCTTTTGCCCCATTCTTCAAAACTCAGGTATTATATGTATTGGCCACTTATCTAAAGTGTTTTCATCAAAAACAACCTAGAATATAAAAGGTATCAATGCTGAACCAGGATCTGTTATTGCTGGAGATGCATTTGTATGTGAATCCCAGGAACAGATGAACACACTAAAATCTCACAGAACTCAAAAGAATGATTGTAAGATTCTAACCACTAGGTATGGATAAAGAATTATCTTCTAAATTTCCACTGGAAAAACATGATTTACAAAAGACTCCATGAAATATAAAATAGAAGATACCAACTCTTGGAAACTATGTTTTATATAATTTGTTCAATATAATTCTATAAAAACTTCAATATTGAAGAATATCTAATAAAAAGTTTCCAGAATACAGCAACAGAAAAAGATGTCTTCTAAAATTTATTCCACTATGTTCTAAAAATTACTTTATAATTAATTTATAATCTTAATCCTAAAATCTCAGGAAATTACAGGTATCCCTCAAAATTACCTAATTTCTGATTTCGGTTCGATACTTCTAATAAACAAAATGAATGTTATGCAGGAATATCATTTGAACTGAAGCTGGGCGTGATGGCACACTCAGGAAACAGATGGGTAGCACGGCCACAGCACCAAGGCCCATCTGGTCTCTAGCAAGTTCTGGGCTGACCAGAGCTACACAGTGAGAGCTTGCTTCAACAAACTAAAAACCAAACCAAAACAAAGACCACTTAGTGTCACCAAACTATTGCTATCACTCCCAGAGTATATTCAACTAGTATTCATATCATTTATGAATGCTGTCTTATAACAGTATCCAAAAATAGTACTTCTGCAGTTTATCATTATGTTCCAAATACATATGATCATGACTACAGATATATAAAAGAATATATATAATTCCATGCTTTTAGTTGTAATAAAATCTAACTGTACTAAAAAGGATTTTCACAAGCTTACTAGCTCTAAGAAAAGTTAGTGTTTTCTTTACAAAAAAAATTTACTATTTTTAACAGAAAATCCGAAAACAAAATTCAAAGTACTCACGTTGATGCCCAACCCATTAAAGGATTTTCCCATCTCTCTCTGGTATCAAACTCCAACTTCCATTTCTTTGTGTTGTTTACTCCAGACTGCATGTTATTGCGAGCAGGAACAAAGATCCTGACCTTTCTGGTTTTTGTGTGCTCTTCTGGAACACCAGTTAAAGTGGTGATATCCTGAGGAAGAATAAGAAAGTAAACATCTTTGAACCCCTGGATAGCAACTGATGCACCTTTCCCACTTCCCACCTCTATATGCTTGTTTTCTGATTTGTTTACCCTGATATTTTATTTTATGAATCTCCACTGTGCTATCTGTAAATAGTAAAGGTGAGAATTAGTTTTGGGGTACAGTGAAAGAGGGGCTATCAATTTTTCTTTCTTTCCTTTGTACAGATTGAACCTGAGGCCTTCTGTAGGCCAAGCAAGTGGCTAAGCACTGAACTATCAACAGTTCATCGCGCTATCCCGTCCTTTCTTTGTCAGACTCTCTTGTATCCAATAGCTTCCCCTTGCTGCTTCCACCTCTGAAGGCACCATGGTCATTTCTGAGGAGTGTGTAGACAATGCTGCATTCTTACTTTGTGATAAGGGATAACAGATGTTACAGAACCATAAAGGGCCCATTAAGGGAAAGTTGTTACCTTCTAGCCAAAAGAATGAAATCTGCCTTGACTCCTCCCTTAAGAATTAATCTCATGGTTGTAAATGGAGACTGCGAGTTCATTTCCCAGTCGCCAGACCCGAATAATCACACAGAAACTATATTAATTACAACACTATCTGGCCAATGGTTTAAGCATATTCCTAGCTAGCTCTTACATCTTAAATTAACCCATTTCTATTAATCTGTGTATTGCCACGAGGCTGTGGCTTACAGGTAAGATTCTGGTGTCTTTTCTTTTGGCAGATACATGGAGTCTGCTTGACTCTGCCTTCTTTCTCCCTGCATTCAGTTTAGTTTTCCTGTGTACCTATATTCTGCCCTGCTGTAGGCCAAAGTAGCTTCTTTATTAACCAGTGGTAATAAAACATATTCATAGCATACAGAGGGGAATTCCCACATCACATGATACCAGCCAATCACCTTGCCAAGGGACCATCCCTCTGGCGTGGGTTCACCTTAAGTCAAGTTAAAGAGACAAGAGGAGTAATTAGTGCTTATTAGGGATACATTTTCCTTCCCAGAATTCCTATCCCCTAGTGTAGTACCTATAGGGAGTCATCAAGAGGTTCTGAGTGAGAACTCAGGAAGGTCTAACTTTTCCTTATTCTCTTCTAGATGGTTGCCAGAGCCTATGTTTGCTTTCTTTGGTACTCTGAATTTGTTTTTGTAGAAAGGGTTTCTCTGTGTAGCCTGGTTGTCCTGGAACTTGCTTTGTAGACTAGGCTACTAGCCTCCCTGAGTGCTGGGATTAAAGGTGTATGCCACCATGCCCAGGGGTACTTTGGAATTTTTAAGTCTTTCTCTAAAGTTCCTGTCACTGAGAAGTGACTGCTTGTCCCTCCTGTGACTGACCTCCATGCTGCCTTAACTCAAATGGCATGACCTTTCCTCTTCTCTATTTCCCTCCTCCTGGCTGCTATGAAGGTATACAGCTTGCTGCCCTGGGGTTTCTCTTTTAAAGGCTAGCTTAAACTGTCCCTGAGATTCTTGAATTCTTTCATTAACGAGACTAACAAACCTAAGGGGGATTCTGACATCTGATAGCATTTGGTGATTCCATCAGAACTCCCCCAAATTTCTGGTATCAGACAAAAGAGAAATACATATATTTATATAAATACAATATGTAAAAATATAAATGCAATTTTTAATAAAGAGACACAATCACTTACTAAATTTTAAATAGAAAAAAAAAACCCTGTCAGTGGTTTTTATGTCAAACTGCTCACCACTGGGCAAAGTCTGAAACTGTACACAAAAAGTGTTTTCTTTCCCTATGGTGAATGACTGAAAGAGTAACACAAAAATCCTGTAAAGGTATGCCATAAGGTGGGAAGGTATGCCAAAGGTACCCAACTTCAGAGACAATACAACTGTAAACACCTGTAATCTCTTTCACTTTTTATACATTTATCCACTAACAAATGCTTCACTGGGAGAATGCATAGAATTTTGATGTTCTAGATTAAACACATTTACCAAACATAGTAGCAGTCAGTGCACACAATAATGAAATAAGTTTGAATTTAAATCTACAGTTAGTAGTAGGTCACCCTATCATAGTAACCCATCAGAATCATATCAGGGTTCATCATATCATTCCTATTTGGTGGGGGGGGGGCAGCGGAACGTAGGAGTCGGTATTGATTTCACAAGTCTTCATCTTATTTTGAGACAGGGTCTTTCACTGAACTGGAACCTCACCTGTTGGCTATACTGGCTGGCTAACAAGTCCCAACGCTCCTTCTTCCTTTTTCTTCCCAGAGCTGGGATATAGGTATATGCTGACATGTCTGGCTTTTATATGGCTTCTGAGATCTGAACTCAAGGCCAAGAACTTTACCCATTCAGCATCTCAATCCCCAACCATTTATATCTTCTTTTAAGTAAAATATTTAAAATCATTAGGAATAGGGTGGAACACTTGCCTCCCATATGTGAGGCCCTGAGTTCAATTCCCAGGACTATCAAAGGAGGGGAAGAGTTCATATAGACTTTTGAATAACGGCTTACAATTAAGAAAGAGAATGAAACGGTTCTATCATGTAACCTGTTTCTGGTGCTGTTAGTTTTGCTTCAGTGTCATGTATCCTCTATGAAGGCTGTTCTCTTGTAGTGTGTCTATTAATGCTATGAACCAAAGAGCTACAGTGGGAAACGCAGCTCACATCTGTGCTGAGGTTAAAAGAACAATTCTTTGTTAATTCAGTGAGTACCCAGTTCCCTGCTTAGGACAATATCTTTCTAGCTGTACCAAGAGGCATGGCTATTTTGTTACAGCTTACATAGTTAGAGAAACTACCAAAATAATGCAGAAACATGTTTACATGATAACAGGATTCCTTGTGTGTACTGTGTGGAGTGCCTGTGTGCATGTCAGGTAGTTTTCTCAGTTTCACTAAAACTGAAACTCACTGATTTGGCTACTTAAGCTACCTCGCTTGCTCTGGGGTCTTGTGCCCCCACTCTCCAGTGACCCTGCCGAGTCTGATGTGGAGGGAGCTGAACTCCAGCTCACACAGTTGTTGCAAAGCACGTTTTCCCTTAAGCCATCTCCTCAGCCACACAGGAAAATCCAATGCGCACTGACTGACATTTGTTTGTTTTTTTAAGTTTTCTTACATCTAGGATAAAAGGCAACTAAGTGCTTTATATCTAGGAGACAAGAAAATGAAATGAGTACAATTAGCATAGAAAGCTTAAGCATTAATACTGTGTGGTAGCTTTAAATTTTGTGTGTGTGTGTGTGTGTGTCACACACAGTGTGACATACACACACACACACAGAGAGAGAGAGAGAGAGAGAGAGAGAGAGAGAGAGAGAGAGAGAGAGAGAGAGAGAGAGCGCGCGCGCACAGGTTCAGCGCACTTCTGGAGGTCAGAGGACTACTCTCAGGAATTTGCTCTCTCCCTCCATTTGAGTGATCTGGGACTTGAACTCAAGTCATTAAGTCTGAGTGCAAGTACCTCACCCAACTGAGATACCCCACTTGCTCTAAATCATATCTTTTTTGATTTATTTTTGAGGCACTGTTTGCTTAGCACTTATAAGGGACAGAATAAATCTCCAGCATGGCACAATGTGTGTGCTCAACACACACACACACACACACACACACACACTCACACACACTCACACACGTGCACATGCACATAGGTTTTTGTTTTTTGTTTTTGGAGGGGCTGGGAATTGAACTTAAGGCATCACACATGGCTAGGCAAGAACTCTATTACTAAGGTATATTCCCAGCCCAAATGTTAACATTTTAAGGAGTGACTTTCTAAAGCACAGTCCTCTACTTGGAGCATGAAGTAACATGGCTCTGTGGGAGGTCCTCAATGTTTATTTCTTCTTTTGTAACTGCCATTTAGTTAACTGTTTACTATTTACTGTTTACTATTTTCTATTGTTACGCTAATATATTTTCTAAGAAGATCTATGTGTGTGTGTGTGTGTCTGCAGATATGTACAGATGTGAGTGCAGGCGCCTGAGAAGTCCAGAAGAGAAGGTTGGATCTCCTGGAGCTGGAGTTACAGGAAGTTATGAGCAACACATGATGCTGGAACATGAGCTCAGGTCTTCGGGAAGAATAGTTCTCAGTCTTAGCTGCTGAGCCATCTTTCTAGTCCCAGATTAAGATCATATTTCCTCATCATAGTTGCATTAAAGTATAAACACTCATTATAAGCATGCTATAAAATTAATAGGCAGGCATCTTCTCCAAATCCCAGATCAACGCCTCTATTTTGCACCAAGTTTCTAATGAATAAAATTATGCTACGTGGCTTGTTTTCAACCATATGAAAGGAAACATTCAATTAATCTTTTACATCCAGAAAATGAGATTATAAGAAATGTATATTTTTCCATACTTCTATACTGTGATGCATGCATGGCAAAAAATTAAACCAATAAAGCTTACACTTCATATTGTTTCATGTCCCCTCAAATTCTGGCACTTTCTTATTGGCACATGCACCCAATTTTAAGCTGATAGTCAAGCGAGGAGCTTCTGAGTTTTGAAGCCCTCCCAAGTTGTCCTGACAGACTCACCGTTTTTGCCTGCAGAAGATGTGAGCTGCTGCAGCCCAGCTGAGCTGCTGCAGGACAGAAGATACAAAGGCTTGGCAGCTCACACACTTGAGATACCTAATGCTCACAGAGCTCTGTAATTCCCAGTCCCTGCAGATGCACTCTCAGCCCAGACAAACTTACTTCCTATGCCTGTAAAATGCGCTGACACTCTGTTGCTATCATTTCATGCAAACAGAATTAGCAAGTGACAAGAACCTCTTCTCAAACACACATTGCAGTGGGCTAACTCCAGGAGTCCATTCAAACACTGTAACACTTGGAAAGATCTGTGAGCCCTATGTTGAATGTCTTCAGGGATTCCCTTTTTCTCTCAATTCACGCTGAGCTACCTGTGACTCATATTTTGCAAACGAGCAAACAAATAAAACACCTGCAAATTAACCTGAATTAGTGGAATTCTCTATGGATTTCTA